ATTCAAAGGTGAAAGCTTCATTTTTTTTTTTTCTAGAAATATATTTTTTTTATTGAAGCCAACCCTGGATGTGGCATCTATTTCATGGTGGGCCTACCAACTGCCTATCATAAACGAATGCGAATACAAAATTTCGTGTCCCTGTTATTTATCACTGAGAAGATCTCTCATACGGAGCCGATCCTGGCAGCAGCATCAGGTCACGTTTATGATTAACATGCGTTGTCATCGGTTCTGGACCAGCATGCAAAATTTCAGGTCAATCGGATACCGGGAAGAGGGTCGAATTAAACTTGCAAAATTTGTTGACATACATATAAGTCAAGTTAAATAAAAGCTTTTAAAAATTCTGTTACCTGTTACCCCACCAACCCCTTTTTCAGAAAAATTATTGGTTCATTGAACTAGTTAACTGAATAATAGTAATGATATATGCTTTTATTGAAATGTTACTCAGTACCAGAGAAACTGACCTAACCTAACAAATGGCAGAATTCAACATATGCACTTGATAAATCAAGGCAAAAATCGCTCTTCCATCCAACCACTTTTCCTTTCATGCATACTTGTATACCACAAATCTAATCATAAACTTCACTTTTTTGTATAATCATTTATGTGAAAGGGTTATTTAAAAATGAGGAAAGGAATTCAACAGTTGTTTTGAGCATTTGAAAATTGCCGTTTTCTGAAATGGTTCGACTCAAACAACATATCTGAACTCCAAAATCATTGTTTCAATGAAAAAAAATCTGGCAATACAAGACATATTCTCAATTTCAACATATTTTCATCATATTGCTCTTTCTGGTGGGATCAGCATCTCCAATCAAGCATTGCAACAATATAAAAGCCGAAAATTCCGCCAAAAAATTCAGTTTACGTTTACCGCTGAACTCCATCATTGGACTAAAATGTTTTCGAAGGTGTGTATCACTGAAATTTGACTGAAATTGTGTGAAGGCGACGATTGAACTGATTTCCCAATTTTCTTCGTAACACTTCCTTCTGTTAGATTCCATTGAATCGATTGAATGGATTCAACAAGATGTAGACATTTTTGAGAGCTATTTTTCGGGTTTTTGGCCATGGTCTGCAAGTTTTTGAACCTGACGTTTCGTCTTTATCCACGGTAGACATCATAATAATAATAATAAATGCTAATCAATACAGTTTATTGCATGATTTTCACTATATGGGTTTTACAAAAACCGCGACACGTGTTTCGCTATACAATAGCTTCTTCAAGCGTAAACTGAGAATAACTTCTAAATTACACCATTTTAGAATATAACTTAGTATCTATTCGTCTACCCAAATAATAAAATTACCTGAAAAGATCAGGTATCAATTTATTTTTGTCTACCTGTAAATATACCTAACTATATTTTCCTGCGAATCAACAGATTCAATAATGGCGAGTTATTCAATTCAGTTTGATCATTCATGAGATGTTGAGACTTTTTGAATTTGTGTATTTCCATACTCTCCAACAGATTAAGTTCCAAACCTTTCTTCTGGAAATGGAGGGGTTTATATTCATGGTTGAACTCATGTCCCTCTGAGATTAAATGACTCGCATATGTGGAATTCATAGAATAGGACCTAAGTGGGTTTCCCATTATGAGACCTTGGCAAGATAAGTAAAACGTTTCATCTAATTGGAAGTAATTCTGTGACAAACACACCGTAAGCAAGTATAATATTTCATTTTTCAATACCGGATTGATAGAGCTTTTGTCCAATAGATTCTCCTCCAAAGTAATCGTTTCATTCGAAGGGATACTGGGAAACAAATTCTTTACATCGAATGAAATCAATTTGACATTATCGGGGAGTGTAATATCTTGAATTTCATTGGAATTTAATATGCATTTTCATCAAGTATCGGCCAGTTCTATTAATAAATGCTTTAATCGGAAGGTTACCCATTACAAGAGAATTTTTTTAAAGACAAAACACTAGCACTACACGAAAATATTTAAGGCGCGGTGCTTGTGGCGGTGCTTGTGGCGGTGCTTGTGGGAAAGTACACATGAGAAAAGTACACTTTTACATGAGATTTGAATCGCTGGAGATTAAATCCATTTGGAAAGAGTGACAAATCAACAACCCTTCTTCGATGTTCGAGACTATCAAGGTTGCAAGTGATGTTCCCGTCTCCAATCAGGCGAATGGCTCTTTTCTGGATCGAATCCAGCAGCTTCAAAGCATGCTTAGGGGCGGAGTTCCTTATATGAGAACAATTCTCTATTGAAGATCTAATCTGAGCTTTATGAAGTATCAAAAGTTCTTGAGGTGTGTACATTTTTCTGGTTAGAAGCAGTGTTCCAAGCTTGCAAATCCAGTGACATGATTGTGCCAATACATATTGTTGTCCATTTTAACCCCTAACAAACTTATCGAAGCAGAAATTGGAATTGTCTGCACTGACATTATTATATCCTGGTTAGTTTCACCCCAGTTTGAAATTCCATTTAGATCCTCATCAAGATATGCAACCTCCTGGTGCCTGAAATCCAAATGGAAAACGAAGCAAGTGTACCGTCGTCAGCAAAGCTATATATTGTATTCTTCGTTTTCTTCAATAAGCTGTTTCAAAATTCGCCCCACGACGTTCTCGAAAAGTAATTTTCGGCATGGTGGATTCTAGATTGGGAATCGTGGGTGGTGCTTGTCCCAGAAAATCATCTATAGAGTGGGACGCAAGTTGTTCAGCTAGTAGATTTGCTTTTTCTATGGCTGTTATTGCAATTTAACCATCCGCTCGTGTTAGTGGTGGAATTGTGAATTTTTTAAAGTTTCGGTCAACATCTACAGCCACCGACCAGTGTTTTTACATTCTTTGATCAAGATAAAGAATTGTTTGTGAACTCATTACGATTCATTATACATAATGATCATATCCAAAATTCTCATAATATGTTACATGCATTCCTGTGAATCGAAAACAATGTTTCGCATTTGAAATTGAAATATATCCCCCTCTTTTCCTTCTTTTGCAGCTAGTGCTGGTCACACTTCTCATTGTCGCTGTCCACAGAGGCTACCTGAGCTCCCCGGCCTACTCAACTTCATATGCTTCGAACCACCTCATTTCATCAACTGTTCCCCAAGTATACGCTGCTCCGGGTCTTTCCCATGGGTACGCAAGCTATGACCATGAACGAGACTACTATGCCCGTCCCCAGTACCAAACTATGGAGTAAAGGATCCCCACACTGGAGATCACAAATCGCAACATGGAGTTCGTGATGGTGATGCCGTGAAAGGGTACTACACCGTGGCTGATCCAGATGGTACTCTTCGTACCGTGCACTACACCGCAGATGATCACAATGGATTCAATGCTGTTGTGGAAAAATCTGGACATGCGGTTCATCCACAAGTTTATGGAGAAGTACACAATGGGTACTATCACTAAATGCTTCACCATCTCATTGTTGTTCAAATTAACTGTGTGTCAACATTGTGATTCAGAATTCAAATTAAAATTCAATTTCAAATGTATTAATGAATGTACAGTATCGAATGAATGTCTATAAATATTTTTATAGAAGTAACCGATATAGTAATCTTAAAGGTGTCGGCGAAGTCAAAGGCCAAAAAATTCAATACAAAAGAATTATGCCGTAACGAATTCGTCCACGTGGACTGAAGAATTGGCGGTTGGTATTGGATGATTTTTACTAACCGAGTTTTATGATTGGCTGAAGAGTCATAAAATTAAATTTGAAGTCATGTTACGGTGACCAACAGAATGTAGCGATGAGTACCGCGTTGTGTGTGTTATTAAAGCGGAACAGCTGGAAGGTAGGGGGCACTAATCTTTTACTTGAACTATACATGCATATTATTTTAACAGAGTCTGCTGATTCCTTTGTATTGGTTTTTTTGGCCTTTGACTTCGCCGACACCTTTAAGATTACTGTATCGGTTACTTCGACTGTAAACACTTGTAGTAGACTGGGTTAGTTGAAAATTAAAGAATATGTTAACTGTAAATAAATAGTGTTCATTGAAAAAAATTGAAATGAAGAAATGTCCCAACATCAGTGTTTTATTATAAATAAGGGTGAAATAAAATATCGGATAAACCAAATTATTTTAATGTGAACACTTTTTCAACTTTTTCAGTATTATACCTAATGTGTAATATTCAATAAATACTGTTGATCTCAACTTTTTGATTTCTCGTAGAATGAACATGATTGAACTCATGTCCCTCTGTGATTAAATGGGTAGCATATGTGAAGTTTATATTTTCATTCTGTAAACTTTTTCTGTGTTCTTTCATGCGGGCTTTAAACGTTCTTCCTGTTTGACCAGTATAAAACATCGGATACGACCCACATGAAAATTTATACACTCCCGATTTTTCTGAAACTGAACTTTTATTTTTATTTCTCTCAAAGTAAATGCCTGAGATGTTGTTGGTTTTGAAAGCAATATTTACACCTTCATTGTGCAGAAAATTTGAAATATTCGTAGTGGGTTAGTAGGTTAACATTCTATAACTTTCATCCTCATCTTTTCGAATTGGGTAAACTTCTTTCAAAGCTTGATTGTATAACGTATTCAAAAAACACTTCATTGTGAGATTTTCACTAAACAATTTTACAAAAACGCCAATCTCACGCAATAAAGTGTTTTTTGAATACGTAAGTTATGGATTTTTTTAAGTATCGGCCAATTCCATCATATATCTTTGGTTGTATAACTTTTTTGATAATTGAGAATGTATTAGACTGCTATCGTAATCATTATTGCCGGCTATTGGTTTAATTATGTTCGGTTCTTTATTGAAATTCGCATCTGACAAGGGAACATTTATCAGTCTGTGGATCATACTATTGAATGCTGCTACTTTGTGCTGATATGGGTGGTTGGACGAATTATGAATGATAATATCTGTATGCGCTGGTTTATGATACACCGAAAAATCATGTTTATTGTTAACTTTCGTTATGGTCCAGTCCAAAAAATGTATAGTCTCCTACTATTTATTGTAACNATTTTTTACCAAAATTGTAAAATTTTCTCGCAAACACGTTTTCAACTTTTGCACATGTTTGTAACATACCTAACTATAACTTGGTATCATTCTTTCGCAGATCCATGGTGGTGTGACCATATTTATTCATAGTAATATCGAACATAAACCTCTTAAACTCGAAAAATGTGGGATTGAGCGTGATTTTGAAGTATGCGGCATCGAACTCCTTATCTCAGAAACTGCCATTATCTCAGTCTACAGCAGCGGTGCCCTAAAGGAGAGCAGTGGTTCAGCGTCCGTCCGACAGTTAAATGAAACATTCGTAGAAAAGACTCATAACTACATCTAATACGACTTTGTTTAAATCCCGGTACTGTGCGCAGCAAACATCTTGAATCTTTTGGTTGTGATATGTTAAAACAGATAATGAAAACACAATGCAACACAAGCATCATTCCTGATAAGTTACAGAATTGCTCGAGCTGGTAAACCACACACGATTGCAGAGAAGTTAATCAAACCATTTATTACAGAGATCATCAGTGATGTACTCGGAGAAGATGTAGCATAAAAAGTTGCAGCAGTTCATATGAATCAATTTGTAGTTTGAAAGACAGTGAGGTGTTTGCGAATCGAGTAGGTTTACTTGAAGACTGGCTGTCAATCAAATCATCTAAAAGATCAATTCTTTTAGGCCTAACCTAACCTAACCTGACCTTCAGTATAGGTTAATTTGAGACCCACTCAAATTGTGTTGTGAATCAATTGTATATTCTGAGGAAAGACTACACTCATCAGGAAAGCAACATATTAGATTTTTGGTGTTTGCTTCGTTCATCGGTTGCAACAGGGGGATAGATTCAATGTGAATCCCTGATAAACATAAGCGTCGATGTTGAAGGTGTCAGAGAGAATAGAGGTATACAGTGATTGATGACCAATTGTGAGTATAGTATTTCCAATACCAATTGGAACAGCAAAAAATAATATGCCGACATAGACGTCGGCATATTATTTTTCAGTGGTAGTTTTTCAGTTACTTATTCCTATAAAAAATTTTCAATGCCGTCTGCCATTGAAAGTATTTTTCTGTAATAATATTACCTTAATTCACATTATCAAATATATAGTTTTTTCCAATCATTTTTAGAAATCTTGTGAATATTTAAGATCTTGTGCTCTTCATCATAATGTGGAAAATCAGAATTGAGGCCTGAAAACCTCACGAAAGCAGCAAATAGTCGTTCCAGAAAGTTGTTTCAACAAATAGTAAAAGCAAATCAAATCGGAATGACATATGAATGAATCATTATAATTGTATACGATATCGACGAATGTCGAAATAAGAAAAAGCACCACTTTTTTCCCAAGGTATTAATAGACCCTTCGATATCGCATTGCTTGCAAACAACGTTTCAGAAACACTCATTAACTGAAATATGTACACTTTTCACGGAACTACTTCACTTGATATTAATGAGATAACTACTCCCTAAGATATTAGTGAAACACTTTTCTGGTACCCACCTTGGAAAACATTGTTACGAGAGATCGGATTGAGCTGTGAACCAAGACTGAAGTATTCAACATAATTATGTCTTTTATAGTAATGTTATGCATGGGTGAAGCTGGAAGACCGAAATATAACAATAACACATAAATATGATGAAATTGAGAATGTGGATAATAGTGACCTAGACTTCACTGAAAGTGAATTTGTTAATTATGAGACATTGAAAATGTATAACAAGTTGGCACATTCTTCATCTGATATCTAGTTGAGGATTTTATTCTGAAGAAATATTTAAAAGAAGAGTTGAGTTTCAATGAAATGAAACAAAATCTACTTTCAGTTGTCAATTTTTCCAATCATTTTCAATTTTCAGAACGATTTCCCACTAGAAGCAAGCGGCACAAGTTTATTGGAGGTTATTGAAAGATTGATAATCAGTATTTGATATTCTGATTGATTGGACCGTTACTTGATTAAGATCCATAGTAATTTCACAAACTACACTTAACGATTTGAACTTCACAAACTGCATTTTCGAAAAATGTCACGACTAGTTTCGCTATCACAGTAGCTTTTTCGTAATGAATGATATATTAAAAGTTTATTATTTACTCTGATTTTTATATACCACACGTAATCACTAGTGAGGATCACCTACTTAGGTACTTCTTCGTTCATAATTACCTAGCATATATTATATCAATTCTACATCAACAACAATATGTCTACGAAGACACTATACAAACTAATCAGCTTCGTTGAGAAGCTGGGTTTATTTGGTCGAGTGTGAATATGTGAATATGTGTGAATATGTGCGGTGGAAGGTCGGATAGACCCACTCACTTTGGACCTAATCCAACCTAGACTACTTTTGGGGGTAGCAGAAATTTCAATAGAGAAGTTATCTATCACTGTATCATTTCAATTCATAATCTGCTTCTTTGTTATTTTCCACGAATCCACTTCTATCTCTGATCCTACTTTCTTCAAAGTAACAAAAAGTTTGTTTTTATGAAACAAATGAATAGTTTATTTAAATTATGAGGTACATAAAATAGATCACAAGATTGAGTTGAAGGTAACAAAAGTATCATTGAACACTCAGTGGTAGTATCCACCATGTCCACCGTAAACTTGAGGATGGCTAGCATGTCCAGATTTTTCCACAACAGCGTTGAATCCATTATGGTCATCGGCAGTGTAGTGTACGGTACGGAGGGTACCATCTGGATCAGCCACGGTGTAATACCCCTTCACTACATCACCATCACGAACTTCGTGTTGTGATTTGTGATCTCCAGTGTGGGGGTCTGCTACTCCATAGTCGAACTGATATTTTGGGTGAGCATAGTAGTCTTGGTCATACCCATGGGACAGACCATAGCCTCCGTGCCCGTGGGAAAGAACTGGTGCAGCATAATCATGGGAAACACCAGGAGAGACCAGATGGTTGGAAGCATAAGATGTTGAGTATGCTGGGGAGCCCAAGTACCCTGCATGGACTGCGGCAAAAAGGAATGAAACAACAGCAACCTGAAACAAATAACTTGGTTATTTTCGAAAATTCTGATGATAGAGTAATTTAGAAACATATTCTTTCCAAATCGACTGTTTCCGTTTATAGTTTCCAATACAATCAACTAATTTGAGCACATGTCATTAAATCTGTCAAAAAAAAGTATATTTCTTTCAGGTCTCATCACAAAATCAACTCCCATAAATACCATACATATGTTGGAAGTGACATCGATTAGTATGATGAAAATTCAACTGTTTTGAGTGAAGTTGCCATTGAAAGATATATTTGTACAGTTTTTATCAAACAGAGAATTGTTCTTTGAATTATTGACAGTCCTTGATAATATTCCGTCAGTTAATTTGATGTACGCTAATGGCCTGATGGCCTATCAACCTATGGACCTATGGCATATAGACTATCAACAATTCATACAGTAACGTATGCAATGACACCAATTTCATAGTTGGAAATTTTGATGTAACTACGCAAGAGGAAAGAACCCTAGAGTATATGAATAAGTGAACAAATGGGCGTAAAGAATTACTTAACACATCCAAAACAGCATTGATAGAGTTCTCAATTAGTAACGTACAAGAACATTTTGTTATGTACAAAAACAAGACTATGCCAGTTAAGTCTTGTGTTTTTACAAAAATGTTAAGCTTCACATTGACTTCTCAAATTACAATACTGTGGCCAGGGCCGTAGCGAGAAGAAAAACCAGCGGGGGAAGAAATCCAAATTTTCCCAAGCCCACCAGCAAAATTTACCAACTTTCGAAAAAATTAAAGCCAAGGGATCAGTTACTACTATAATATATTAATTTTCTCACTTAGCTATACAAAGATTGCCTGAATGCTGATGTCCGTTAGGGTATGCAATAACAAAAATACATTTTAGTAGTTCTAAAAATGATAATGGGAATCATTCTACTTTGGACCAAGGTCCTTGGTCTTCCATCATGTATAGGAATATTCAATACAAATGAAAGGAAACAACACTTAAATGATATTGTGCTTATTGTTTTCTACAATTATTTTTTCTATATTCACGGCCCGAAATTTCCCAACATTTCCAAGTCGAAAAAACAGCGAAAAGTTGTGAATTTTTTAAAATTGTCACTTCAAAATTTGTGGACTATTCAGGATTGTCCTCTTACTTGGGAGAAATTGAACTTTTTGAAGTTTTCAAACAACTCAGAATTTCAAAGTATGGGATCTCCGAGTTATGCATGTTGGGAAATCCCAACCTTCTCCTGGTTCTTTTCCTTTCTTATTACCTCTCCCTTTCTTTTCTCTCATTTTTATTTCTTCAAATTAATTTATTCATTTTGTTACTATTATTTTTTTATATCTTCACGGCCAAAAATTTCCCAACTTTTTCCCAAGTCGAAAAAGCAGGGGGGGAGGCTCTCCCCATCCCCCCTATAGCGACGGCCCTGACTGTGGCTATTTTCTATGGCCACTAAGCTTGTAAGATCCTGGGGTACCAGGTCTTCCGCTGAAAGAATTTTTAATTCACAAAAATATGCGATGAGAATCATTGCCGGTTCAGGATGAAGAGATAAATGTGGAGCTGCTTTCAAAAATAAAAAACCTGGACTTTATATTCACAAATTATGTATATACGTGTACAGAAACTGGTTAAATATACCCTTCAAATCATACTCATTATCCAACTCGTTCTAGAGATAAACTAATGCCTAATATTGAACAACTCTTCATCACAAAAACTATCTTTATCTTGGATATAAATTGTTTAATGAGCTAGATGGTACGATAAAACAATAACCAAATTTGAACATTTATAAATCAAGATTGAAAAAGGTCCTGATTGAAAAAAACTACCACACATTTGATGAATTTCAAACCCATGACAGTTGTCACACCTATGTGACACAATTTACTTTTTTATATTTATTTCTTCACCAAACCTGATTTTATAATTAATAATATATAGTGTTTTGCTTTGAGGTTGTTTTGTCCGGTTCAATGTCACGTGTTTCTGTAGTTCCATATCACAACACTGATTGATAAAGAATTTCATAATCTATACACTGATGCTGTTATTTTTTACCCACCATACAAACTGATCAGCTTCGTTAAGAAGCTGGGTTTATTTGGTAGAGTGTGAATAGCTGTGAGCCACAATAAACTCTTACGGGTTGCGGTGGAGGGTCGAATAGACCCACCCACTTCAGACCTAACCTAAAATACCGTCGTGATTGTCATTCCACAATTTTTCTTCTCAAACTGATTAGTAATTTGATTATTGACTCACATATGCTGCAAAAACCTAATTTCAATGTACTTAGATCAACCTCCAGAGTGGATAATCCTTTTTATCTACCAACACCACGTTCAAATATTCTGAAACGTTCAACTCTGCATAACGTGTGTGTCAAATGCAATTCTGCAAGTTGTCAGCTCGACAGTTTTTACTGTTCCATCTCTGAGATTAGGTCTTTTTACTACAGCTGATTCTATATGTATGGTTTTGACCTTATAACTTATTGTAATTGTATTGTAATTTGGCTCATATTCCTGTTCTGTAGTTGGGTATAACATGTAGAACAGTTTATTAATAAATAAATAAACATAAAATGTCTCTTCCTGCTCCACGACAATGCTCGTTTCACAAATCACCGAATTGTTCTGCCTCACCCACCATACTTCCCAGACCTTTCGCCAATCGACTGCCATCTTTTCAAGCACTTCGATAACTTTCTCATCGGTAGAACCCGATCAGCTTATTTGGATGAAATTGAAGACGTATTCACTGAAACATTACTGTCTGAAGTAGATCCATTAAAACGGACAAAACTTTTGAAACCACCCAATGGAATGAAATTCATTTTCAATTAGATATAGGAATAAAATACTTTCTCTAATTTTCACTTACTTAATGTTTTGATATTAATACGACCAAGGTTTCGGTTTATACACCATTCTCAAGTGTTCTAGCACTACTCTAGTAATGCTAGAAGTAAGTGGAAATTAGACAAAGTATTTTATTCCTATATCTTATTGAATTGAAATTAGTATTATTATTAATGAAATGACTGTTGAGCATTTATCACTAAAAACAAATAACTCTATGAACGGCAGGATTATCAAATATTTTTGAACCTAACCAATACATTTTTTACCAAAATTGTAAAATTTTCTCGCAAACACGTTTTCAACTTTTGCACATGTTTGTAACATACCTAACTATAACTTGGTATCATTCTTTCGCAGATCCATGGTGGTGTGACCATATTTATTCATAGTAATATCGAACATAAACCTCTTAAACTCGAAAAATGTGGGATTGAGCGTGATTTTGAAGTATGCGGCATCGAACTCCTTATCTCAGAAACTGCCATTATCTCAGTCTACAGCAGCGGTGCCCTAAAGGAGAGCACTGGTTCAGCGTCCGTCCGACAGTTAAATGAAACATTCGTAGAAAAGACTCATAACTACATCTAATACGACTTTGTTTAAATCCCGGTACTGTGCGCAGCAAACATCTTGAATCTTTTGGTTGTGATATGTTAAAACAGATAATGAAAACACAATGCAACACAAGCATCATTCCTGATAAGTTACAGAATTGCTCGAGCTGGTAAACCACACACGATTGCAGAGAAGTTAATCAAACCATTTATTGCAGACATCATCAGTGGCGTACTCGGAGAAGATGCAGCATAAAAAGTTGCAGCAGTTCATATGAATCAATTTGTAGTTTGAAAGACAGTGAGGTGTTTGCTTTACAACTTGACAAAAGACAGATGTCGCCGGGTTATCAATACTGCTTGTTTGAAAAAGATTTGTTTCTCTGTACACCCTTGGAGACCAACATAACAGGAGAAGAAATTTTTGAAGTAATTGATAATTATATGACTAAACACCATATTGACTGGAACAAATGTATTGATGTGTGCAGCGATGAAGCTGCAGCTATGGTCGGCAAAATAAAAGGAACTGTAACAAGAATAAAGAATATTGCACCCATTTGTAGTAGCAGTCACTGCGTCCTGCATTGCCACGCCCTTATATGAATCTGGCGTTATTGATCCATGCGTCTCTCACTATGCGCAATTTTAAACATAAATAATATCAAGCAGGTTACAAATGTCCCTTTCTTCAGAAGAAGTGTAACATCCTCAGGTATTCTCGAACTCCAAACATCGCTGCAAAAAGTTATTTGGAGCATATAAAACGACAATAGCTCTTCTGAAGTTATGGTAGATTTTCTATTGAATCTATATGTAAGTCTAGTACATAAATTATTTTTCCTTAAAAAGTCTCCAGTGAGTCCAACAGAACCCTTGTTAACTGGTTCAATGATTACTAAAGAAAAATGAGAGACACAGCTATCTATTTATCAATCATACTGTTCTTCGTCCCTTACGACAAAAATTGAAACGATATTAAATTTGGAGCATTATGTTTCCCAAATAAATTGTAATGAAAATAATGTTTTTATCATATATTTCATCTGTTTTATCATGATCATTGACTGATATAATTGTTAGTATAATAAAATTAGAATCTAATTCAATACCGAGTTTTAGCTGAGTAAATTCAAGTAAAAATATATAGTGCTAGATTACACCTGATTGAAATCACCCTTTATAACTACATACGAGTAGATACCTACGAGTGAATAAAAAAAAGTTGTCGCCGAAATAATCACTTTTCGCTTGCACTTACCTTGGAGATCATTTTAATCGATATAACAGGTTCAGTTGTAAACGTAAACTGAATTAATTCAGGTAATTTCGGCTTTTATATCATTGTAATGGTTGAGTGAAGCTGGCGACTGTTTCAACGAAAATATAACAATAACATAAGAATGTGATGAAATCAAGAATGTGTTTGGTCCTGACCTAGAATTTTTACTGAAACTCACGAATTTGATAATTGTTAGATGTTGAGAAAATTAGGAATTTATTGCTCTTTTGCATAATCTAATTAATTGTGGTTCAGTATACCTAGTATCAATTCTCACTGATGAGAGGATTTTTTTACAATTAAACAGTCTTGCTTCATTCTCTATTATTACTCTAGTCCTGTCATAATATGAAAACGTTGCAGAAATATGCAAATTCCGAATTGTTGTCAGGTTACAATCCCAGAAGATTTGAGTAATTATTTTTACTTTCATGGACACTGAATATTTTGCCCAAATCTTATTTTAATATTAATAATTAACACTTTCATTTCATAAATTATAACTAAAATCATCATGAATTGAAACAAAATTTAGTACCAAGAAGCTTGAGTTATGAAAGATTGTTAACTACATAATACTTTAAGGCTATAATCCGGTCAACTTAGACTAAAAAATAAGAGTGAAGGTTCATAAATTTACAACAAGCTGCAAATGCTTGTAAAATTTTATGATCTACAATTTTTATGTGAGGTTATTTTATGATAAAACTTACCGTTTTCCTGAAAATCGCGAAAAAACAATTTTTTTCGAGATTTTTTACTTTTGACCTCGAATAACTTTTTTTCCAGGCATCGCAATCATTTGTAATTTCAAAATCTTATTTTTTAACTATGTTTTGAACAATTACACGAGTTTGCAGCTCGTTGTAAATTTATGTACCTTCCAATGTCTAGATTGACCGGATAACTACTCGTAACTTATGAGTAAAAATAGTTGATTCAGAAATTCATAGCTGAACTTATATAAATCGATGAAATGCTAGCATTTTGCATACTTTTTAACCTGTCCTACAAGGAAGTGGTTTTTCCTTCTTGTTGGACGATTGCTTGCATTCTGCCTATTTCCAGAAAGGGCAAGAAAAATTTTCCATATAACTATAGACCTGTCGCTTTGCTATCAGTGATATCAAAAATCATGGAGAAAGACGTAAACCATAATCTCCTCAAATATTTGGAAGGCTTTAACATCTTGAGCGATCATCAATGTGACTTTCTGAAACAAAGATCAACAGACGACCTTCTGTTTGTTGTATGTCACCCATATTTGGAATAACGCAATCGAGAAACATGAAGAGTCAAAAGCTGTTGCGCTTGATATTTCTGAAGTTTGACCGTGTGTGGCATGAGGGTTTGCTGGCCAAACTTAAATGCTGTGGCGATTTGAAAAAGTAAAAGGGGTCGATATTGAATTAAAGAAACGAGTGATGAAGGTCGTATTTTTATGACGTGGAAGGCCGATAACTAACGAGTATCAACTACTTTACAATGACTCGATGAAGAACGTATGGACGTTAAGTATGATTGTATCATGTGAAAAATCAATTTTTTTGGTTTTATGGCACGTTTTGATTGTTTTGACTAGAAATAATGTAAGAGATCTATTTGGAAAGAAGGCTCAAAAGATGGAGAGAAATCATTCAACTGATTGACCAGCCTGGGAGTCTAGAAAATATTGAACACTACATGTGACTGAATATCACTTTGTTAAAGCTGATACCCAGCGTATCAAAACATTTTAAGCAACTATTATCAATTGTAGAGCTTCAAACAAAGTATAAAATAATTTCCTTCAAAATAGAACTATTCGAATACTTTATAAACCCTCAATTAGAGCAGATTGAAAATAGTTGAAGCTGAAACCTCAAGTTTCAACTGTTGAAGCTGAAAGTTCAACAGTTTTATCTCAATTCCTTCAACAACGCCGTTGGCAGTGATGGCCTGGCCAACGACGTTCTCAAAGAAATATGGGCAGATGACGAAACATTTTTTCTAGACAATTATCTGGTCTACAATTTTTTTCTAAACCAATTTCATGATAGAACTGACCGTTCTGCTGAAAATCGACGAAAACCGTGTTTGTGACCTTTAATCACTAGTTAATTTTTTTCCAAATACCGGATCGATGAGGATTCTTTATATTTCATTATTGCCAGTGTTTTGAACAATTCTACCAATTTTGAGCTGGATGCGAATGTTTGTACCGTCATTTCCATTTTTTGATCTGATTTGACCGGACAACAAAGTAATTTCTCTGTTTTTATGCCCCTATCCATTTTTTGAATGTTAGGGATTAGATGAGGCTAGATCGCCAAAACAGCATATTCGTGATTCTCATCTCGTTTTTTTGACAAGGACAGTGGCTTCAGATTATATTTTGTAAAACGGAATAACACAAAACTATGCATTATCGAAAATCAATTCCATAACTTACGCGTGTATAATTTTACGCTCCGATGAATGCATTTAAGCGAATTCAATTAGTTGCTCAATAATCGCCTGCATTTCCCAATACCCAAACGTTGTTCTTTCTTATAATATTTTGTACCCGTGCACATGATTGTCATAAAAAAGCGATTATAATCGTAACCACAATAATAAATTAGTGGTTTCATTATTTGTGACTCAGCTCTATTGATGTGTTATTATTATGACAATTTAGCTCCGTTTATATATACAGATTGTAACATGAATATAGAACTAAGTCCAACTGGAATTGAATAACAACTTTAAGGGAAAATTCAAACAGTTCGTGCTGATGAAGGAAAACGTTTCAGATGTAATGAATGATTGTGTACGCAACAAGAGTGTGCAAGCAAAGCGTGATCTATCAGAAACCTTACTCTCGCCTCAGTGTTACTTGTCTTCATGGAAATACAATGTAAAATCAACCAATCTGTATTAGTTTTCATGATAAACAGTGATTCACAAAAACAATATCTCCTTCAGCCAAAGAGTTCGAGAGATAAAACAACACAAATATGGACCGCATTCATATACATAGTCACCAAACCAAAAAATTAGCAAACATCTTCAAATCCTTGAACATCAACATCATTTACAAGACGAACACGAAAATAACACAAAAAAACCAGCTATGAAAAAGAAGGAGATAAAAACCTAAACGGAGTGTACAGCATACAATGCTCGGACTGCAACTAATTCTATATCGGCCAAATCAAGAAAAAACTGATCCAAAGGTACGACGAGCACACATAAGCATACATAAACCAATAACATATAAATGAAACCTCGCAAAACCCGCCATACAAAACAAACATAACTTTCCCCTACCAGAAAACATCAAACTTATAAAACAAGTCAATAAAGGAAACCGTGTGAACATATGGGAAAACCAAACATCCATAAATTCAAAAGTTATAATTCACTTATCGAGAAACAAATTAAAATCAAAACACAACAAGACCTAACATTCAATATACTTCACAAAACAATAAACATTCCTTATAACAAGGAACCTAGAGAAACACCAACACAAAGGATATTACCTGAGTAGAGCAATGTTTTCATCCTCACAAGGTAATCCACGATGTTTCGGTAAAGTTTTATTTGGCATCTTCTGGTGATGTCTAAAGTTTAGAACTAGCTCCGGATTCAAGTCCGCATTTAGCTGGCCATGCCACTTTACCTCTTGTTCCAATCGATGGTTCGGGAAAAGTTTGATTTGAATAATCTGTGATGTCATTTCATGAGTTGTGTGGACCACATTTGTCTTGTTAGAACTAAGGTCTTTCACGCCGATACCGTATAGGAAGATCATCCAATATTTCTTCTATACTTTCTACATACTTGGCTCCGGTTAGGTTGCCGTCAATAAAAGAGGATCCTAGTAATTTCTCATTCAACAAACCACTCCATATTTTCAGAGAAAAACGATATTGATGTCTACCTCCATGAATTAAGTTAATGAATGAATTATATGCAAGTAAAGTCGAAATCTTTTAATATTTGGTTTTGTTTTTTCAGGATATAATTGATCATATCTTTGTTGTGCTTTGAATGAATTTCTATCTAGTTTTATGTACAATTCGTATTTAATATCTCTTTTTTCTTCATTTATGTATCTTACCATATCGAATAAGTTAAATTGAAATCACACAGAAAAGTATTTAATGACAAGAACTTCTTATGACACAATAATAAACGAAGTGCCAAATAATATGTCATTTCTTGTTATGTTCTGTTTTATTCACGACCCACTACTTGAAAATAATACATTCAATGAACCTAGAATTGTGTGTATTGAAAAAACAAATATATCATTGATATCAATATTCTGACCCAAATTCAATTGAATCCAGAAAAAGTATCGAGAACTGTGGCCAGTGTATCCAATTTATCAAAAACTGCTGCGGAATTGGCCGCGGTGGTAGTACTGACCGACTCACGATCGGAAAGCCGTGGTTTCGATTCCCGCCTCGACCAGATATTTTTCTCGAGAGAATTTATCTGGTTGAGGCTGGCATGATTCTGCAACCGTGTTAGGAATCACACGTTAAAAGGTACCACCTCGTTAGTCCTTAGCTTGCACAAGTTTCTCATCATCTGAGAGTTGTCGTTCGTATGGGGGCGACAGCTGATTAACGGAAAAACAGATTTTAAACAGAATAAAACGGTCAAGAGACGCGGATACAATGATTTTAAATTTGAATAACAAACTCTTTTTAAGGACAAAGCACAAGCACTACAATGAAATACTTAAAGCGCTCTTAGAGCGGTGCCTGTGCGAAAGTAGCGATTCACATTGCATTTGAATCGCTGAAGATTAAATCCACTTGGAAAAACGCTGTTCAGATAAAAGAGTTCTTGAACCCCTTCTTCTCTATAGAAGAGAGACAAATCTCCAACCTTTCTTCGAACCAAGCCATCAAGGTTGCACGTGATGTTCGCGTCTCCAATCAGGCGGACGGCTCTTTTCTGGATGGAATCCAACAATTTCAGGGTATGTTTAGGGGCAGAGCTCCATACATGAGAACAATACTCCAAAGAAGGTCTGATCTGAGCTTTATAAAGCATCAAAAGTTGAGGTGTGTACAGTTTTCTGGTTCGGAACAGTGTTCCAAACTTTTGAGAAGCAGCCTTTGCAATTCCAGCAACATGATTGTTTAAAAAAAATCTGTTTTTC